TTTTGTTAGCTCACACTGTTTATTTACTTCATGAAAATTCACAGACAAACATCCGAACATACTATCACAAAGAGCAACACATTTGTTGATGGAACTATCATTAAAACTAGATATGGGATTCCCATTACTTTCATTGCTGGCGTACATTTCATAAAGAAAGGATTTTGTTAATCCAGCAATAATTTGAAAGAAGTTGAAATACAGAAAAAAATGTTTAAGTGTCTTCATTTTTTGTGAAATATGAAATACACAAATCTTAATTTCCAACTCTAAATATAAAATTTAGCTTCGCAAATGACAATAGATGATTGTTAATGGCTAATGTTTGATATTTCAACAAACCCCTTCTTTCAAATTAATCCGAAGCGCATATGCTGTCGGTACCCGTGTTTTAAAGGAATGAATAATAAATCAAAATTTGCACAAAGAATACCCTGCAGATCAATCTTACCGTAGCTTAAATTTACATGAAAAGAATACCGTAAGTAGTTCTAACCTTAAATCACCTTAATTTCAAGTTATCCGTTAAATCATTCAGAATTATATATGAGACTAATGCAAAGCTTTTAAAAAATTATTTACGGCCTCAAATATTTAGATTAGAGCAATGGCTTATCATGCCAGAGAACCCCAAATCACTATAGGCACAAAATGGTTTTCAATTTATTTGCAATTTTTAAATATTGATTGACTGCGTTCGATATACAGTAAACTCCAACTGTATCGATATCGCTTGTAATGATATATCGGTTATATCGATACGTTTGTCTTGGTCCCTGCCAACTTCCATTATAACCTAACGGAAGCATCCTCGCATATATCGATATCGCATGTATCGATATTTCGGATATATCGATGTGGATTTTCAACCCCAACGCACATATTTTACCTCTTAAAACGATAATTTGCTGCACAAGTTTGTTGTGGAAGAGCGGTCTCGGTCCGCTTGTTTTAATGCATAAATATCTGCTCGATTAAATACAATGACGCGGAACATGTTCTGTGCGTACGTAACTACCGTTTTGTTCTCAATACAGGTGAATTCATCTCAAAAAATAAAAGCATGGTTTTGTCCTTTTATTGTTTCCTTTTAATAACAATTTTCGTTGTAAATAAGTTATACATGTACATGTAGCTAAAACAGTGAACATGTCAGAAAAACGAAAAAGAAAAATTTTGGATATTGAAACTAAATATAAATTTATTCAAGAGATTAATCTTGGTAAACGTAAAAAACAGGACATTGCAAACGATTTTGGAATTAAACAAAACACATTAAGTTCAATCTGGAAAAATAAAGATTCTGTCATCAATGCATACGAGACTACGTCGTTCAGCCCAGCCCGTAAACGAATGCGTCATGCCAGTAATAGAGACATTGAAATGGCGCTGTTTGAGTGGTATAAGACTGTACGATCCCAAAATTTGCCTATTGATGGACCTATGCTTACACGAAAGGCTAATTCTCTGGTATGTGAGCTGGGCATGGAAAATTTTCAGGCAACAAACGGATTTATTGAAAGATTCAAAAATCGTCATGGCATATCGAGCAAAACATTATCCGGTGAAGGTGCTTCCGTCGATAATTCACAAACTGAAAATTGGATGCAGTCAAAACTTACAAGTTTGATCAAGGACTATGAACCAAAAAATGTCTACAATATCGATGAAGCTGGCGTTTTTTATAAAATGACCCCAAATAAAACACTAGAGGTAAAAGGAACAAAATGTTTTGGAGGCAAACAAAGCAAGGACAGAATCACAGTGCTTATCGGCGCAAATATGGACGGTTCTGATAAACTTAAACTTTTGATAATCGGAAAATTCAAAAATCCTAGATGTTTTAAAAATGTTAAAAGTTTGCCGGTAGATTACGAAGCTAATCGTCGTGCTTTGATGAACTCAGAAATATTTATCAGTTGGGTGAAAAAACTTGACAAACGTATGACACGTGAGAAAAGATCTATTCTATTGTTTGTTGATAATTGCCCGGCCCATCCGAAAATCGAGGGATTAAAAGCTGTAAAACTGTTGTTTTTCCCACCTAACACTACATCTAAGTTACAGCCCTGTGATCAAGGGATTATCTTTTCATTCAAAAGGCATTACAGGTCACGTGTCCTTGACCATATTATTTCATGTCTAGACAAACATATCGATAAACAGATTAACATTCTAAAAGCCATACAATGGTTTTATGCGGCATGGAAAGATGTAACACCGACGTGTATCCAGAATTGTTTTAGAAAGGCTGGATTTATGAATCAAGCACAGCATGAAATTAATGCGACCCCGCAGGGCATGTTTCCGATTCGTCTGACACAGACGAGTTCGAGGACGATGACATTCCGCTGGCTGAATTGGCATCGAAATGGAATCGCCTTAGAGTATTCAGTGACATAGACAAAAACATTTCTTTTGATGAGTACATAAATGCCGATGAGAATGTTGTCTCCGTTGAGCAGAAGTCCGATAGCGATATAATAGCGGAGGTAAAGCAAAAATTGAAACCCGCTGAAACCCTGTCGCAGAGTGACGAAGAGAGTGACTCTGAGACTGTTGATGACCCCCCACCCACCATGAATGAGTTTCTTAATGCTATAGACACTTGCAGACGCTTTGTTCTTTCTAAGTCTGATTCGTGTGATTCTGTTTTCGGATGTTTACATGAACTTGAGAAATTTTCAGTTGAAATAGGGAAAGCCAAAAAGCAGACAAAATTAACTGTTTTTTCCGACAGTGAATGTCTTTGTACATGAACAAAACTTAAACAAGATTTACCCATGAGTGTAAATAGTTAAAAAAGCAATTTAATTTTGACGTTTTTTTTCCAGTGTATAAATTTAAGCCAATGTAAGGTTACCAGTACCTGTGTACATATTACTTTCGGTTTATGTCAGTTTTGTGTTTATTTTGATGTGCAACTGATTTTTTATGCATTCAACATTGATATGCATAAAAAGAATAAAGTTTTGTCGTAAGTACATGATTGTCACATGTCTAGTATATAATGCTACTGCTTATACATGTTGAACGATGCAGTGCACCGTCAGTAAGCTACACACCGTACAGAAATTCGGTTGTAACGATATTCGGATATATCGATATAGTTTTGTATGTCCCCTGAATATTTAAATAAACAAATACACTTGTGATGATTTAAACATATTTGATTACATGTGCTTTACATAAGTACATGACTGTTGAACAATGATTAAACTTTACTTTGAAATGCAGGAAACATATGATATAGAGACGAATGATTAATGATCAAATGGAATAACCATCGCAGGGTGGCGAATCTTCGTGCCTTATTAGGAAAAATGCACGACAAAAAAGGTAAAAATAGCACCGATTTAGGCCAGTATTGTTTTTGTAAATATCCATTTGTCATTCCGAATGGATTTTTTTTCAAATAAAGTGCAGAAACCCCTATATTTAAGAACAACACATGCACAAGCTTGTACCAACTTTGTGTGAAGTCTAAATTTTCTACAATATTGACCCAACTGATTCAGTCCTTGAAATGCTTCGGACAACGTGTATTGATAAATCAGTTAAAGCAGTCTGGGAAAGATAACGAAAATAAGAAGGGAAGAAAATCTATTCATTATTAAAACAAAGATGTGTAGAAAAATCCTAGTTGAATCAAGCTATACTGTATAATTTTCCCCGTCGTGTGTCTTGGTTGTCCAAAAGTCCCAATGGTTCGAAACCTTGATTGCTATTAATCTGACAAACGAATATCAAATATGATCGTTTTAAGACTTCATTAGCATTTTTTGCATAACATGTCCCTTCAAAATATTATAAAACGAAAATTATACTGAGAAAATATGCTCCCAAATTAAAATACCTCGTTAGCTTCATAGAAAGACGACAATGCTAATTATTTTGATAAATTAAACGCTAACTATGCTAAACTAAAGTAAAGAAAAAACTAAAAACATTAATCAAGGAAATAGAATCGTATGACATAAGAAACATATCCAAAGCTAAACATTTATAGCTAGTCTTTTCTTAACTTGTCATTTCCTTGCCAGTTGTCTTAACATGCTGTTTGCCAAATATGGCACCATTTACTATTTCATCAACTTATTTTACATTGTTTGCAATGTAAATCAAAGTACTGAAAGCACTGGATGCGACAGACATGAAAAGGGAATTGCATAAATGGTTGTCAAAAAAGGGATCAAACATCAGTCATATTGCATGAAAAAAATCTATATTTATACATTGAGTATTATGCTTGCTACAGAATAAAAAACAGCGGAATTTCAAAGCAAGGTCGTTAAAATAGAAGAGTCTGGAAACGCTGAATGTAAAACTATTTAAGCTACAAACAGAGGTTCTTTCAAATAGAAAGACCCTTTTTAAAGTGAATAATCTATAAAAATTTTCTCTAAAAATGCCAGGACAACCAGGATAAAAAGCTGGTAACTGAATCAATTTTAAATAATTTATGAACACCCATATTTACTGAAATTACCTTATATATGAATTTTAACTGGTCATTTTCTAGTTGTCTGTGCGATTTTTGTCATTTTAAAATTCCGGCGTTTTGTGAAAAACATAAGAATAATATTGTCAATGATAGAATGATTGCTTTTCAAGCTTTAGAACAGTAGCAGAATGTATTCTGTGCAGATTTATTGATTCTTTTTCATTAAGCAACATAAAAAACTTCCAAAGAAGCATTGAAGGATATAAGATTAGAAACATTCCTGACCATGTTGCAATGACTCTTTTTACTTAATATTTGCAAAAGACGCTTATAAGATAATAAAGATACTTATGATTATAAAATAAACATTTTCTAGGTACTTGTTTCATAAATAAATCGATTTGTTCTATTACATGTATTCAAATATGTAAAATCATATTTCAGTTAATAATGATTTTTGTACGGTTTTCACCACTTGTTTTTAGTGAGTCTTTTTAAATTTAAAAAATACATAGATTTATATTATTGTTTTTCTTTGTTTCATTTAAATCAAAATAGTATATCTTAACAATTTTTACGCAGACGTTTTTCCAAAACTACAGAATACTAACATTTTTTAAACTGACAATAGGTCTTGGGTACTGTGCTTTGGCAAGATATAGATTTTTTACAGATTGTTTTGATGAAAATCGAAAAATATCTTTACTCAAAAGCATTGTAAATATCATCTTTTGTTTAAAAACCATATTTTTTTCACAAATAATTTCTATTGATTTTTTTCCACAGATTTATTGAATGAAAATGAATAATGCTGTTGAGATTGATTTATTTGAATAGTGTTTGGTACTGAAAGTTTATCATCAATTGGCATGCCTTCTTTAAGTGGTTAAGGATACTAAAGCTTTGTGTGGACGGTGAGCGCAGGATGAACTATTTGCAAAGGTTAAAGGAAATATTTACATGTAAAATATGATAGACAAGATCAACAAGGAAAGACGGCGTTCAATGAACAAAGGTTTGAACATTATCTTAAAATTATATGCCATTAAGGGAAAATATACGTCATTTACACGACTCTAAAGGAGAGAATGCGGGTTTTTTCTGATAAGTCCAGTTACAAACGCTAAACCCGTTTAGTAAGTTTGAAGGTGAAAGAAAAGAAAATTGCAAACATCGTTCATAAATTGTTATTGGTTATTGTCAGTGAATGGTATGGATACCAAATTGATTTTTTTATATTTTATAGAGAATTAATGGCAGCACAAGCAGAACATAGGCGAAAAATGAGCAAATTTCTAATGGCCCAGGTGAGTGACATGGATATTGAAGACACGATCATAGGCCGCATAAGAATAAAACTTTCTCGACTGATGGCAAACAAAACATCGGGAATAACTGCATTCAAACGCGAAGTCGAAAAGATGAAAAAGTAATAAACCAACAAGGTGATGCAAATTTTACCGAAAAGTTGAGCCAAACTCTGGTACATAGAAAGAGGGGATCCTTGTCACATTTTGTTAGTAAAGAATATCTTACATGATCTGGGTCAATCACGGGAGCGCAACTAACGTTATCCGATAAAATAAAACAGTGGAAACATATGAATCGAAAATATCTTCTTGAAAGAAAACCAATCAACAAAGATGACCAACTAAAGATAGTTTAAACATATATACAACAAGTCTGAACAGGTGCACGTCCTATTCACAGCAATCAAATTTACCCACGTCGCAAACTATTTACAATTCTAACACGACTGCCTCTTCCCTTTTGACACTATAGGACCGATTGTATGTGCTCGGGGGCGTTGAAGATTTTGCACTTTTTCAGTATCCCTCACGTTCAGACTGAAAAAACAACCGCGTCTACAATTTTGCTGTTTGCGAGGGATCACTTTGTTTCAAGATATTTATTTTGCTATAAAATAAAAGTGCACGTTCTGTATATAGTTAGGCATGTGTCGTTACCATTAAACATGTGACGTAATCACTAAAAATGCAACGCGAGGAATATATGTAACGACACATTTATTATAATAAGTTATACTTAACATGTATGATTTTACACAAGGGCAACAAACAAAATAAATTTTGACTTTTAAAAACTAAGGCTATCGAACAATGATATAAAACTGACACAAATCACTTTGTCGTACAAAATCTTACATAGAACATGATATTTTGCACCTTCCAATTTTAACAATATACTAATTATCATGTGAATGTATTGCTTTGCTGACACAAACGTTAAGTATCAAGTCATATGAAAGAAGCTAGATGTGAATACTTCTCCATTACCAAGACATATCAATAAACATCGCGACAGTTTCTGTTTTTATTTTAAAGAAAAACGACATTACAATATATTAACATTAAAGCATCAGAGAAACAAAAAAGATACACTTAAATATGAAATGATATCGGTATTGCATGAATTCAATAAATGAACTTAATTTGCTATTACATTACATGAGAGGAACTGAAATGTGTTGATATTAAGACATGATATCTATCACTGCACGAGTTTTATTATAATGTCATAAAATTAAGGGCTGATAAATTAAAACATAACAAGTGTGGCAGCATGATAAAAGAAAGTTCACATTGATTCTGTAAACACTTTGTCACATTTGATAGTCATACTTATGAAGTAAAGTTCTATTAACATATAAAATAATGATGATGTCAAATAAGGTGGTTATTTTATATTTCTGATAACAATACAGATTCTTCAATTAAATCACAAGGTTTTCTGCACTAGGATTTAAATAGGGTCAGGATTATCACATTGTTAATTCTATGAAAATATTGATTATATGACTGTTTCTCGAGAAGGTCTAAGCTTGCAAATACCATTACCGAAGAAGATCAATCAAACCTTTTCAATGTCTCGTTTTTGTGCAATTTAAGGAATTCTGTTTTTCTGTACCTAATATACAGTAGTAAAAATTTATTTGAAGCTCGTGAAGTTGTGCACAGTATGTTTAAAACATTTAAGGTGAATAAACGTAGACCTCACATAACGTCATCATTTCTGTAGATTCATGCTTGATTTTTAGAAACTTTCCGAAGATTGTATTTGTACAATCGATTGTTATGCTAAAAGGTTCCTTGTCTATAGCAGGACCAAAGTATGACCCACATTTTGTTCCTGCATCATTTATGACATCATCACGACTGTTAGCAACAGTCACAGTGTAATTTGTCTGTATTTCAACTGAAACATATTAATGATTATATTATATTGCTTGTATGATTTAAATCAATCTTTCTTAATATATATTAAAACAATTACAAAATCATCTTTTTGTTTTAACTTTTTTGTTGACTCTCTTGCTGTTGGTTGATTTTCTTTAAATGTTTACGACTTTGAACGTGTTACTTTGAAATTAAATCATTAAACAAACATTTGAAAAGTTAAAGACTATTAGGATGTAACATCAGCTCCCTATACAGACTAGAATTTCTGGCTCGAGAGTAACTGTTTACGGCGGTAATGGGTCTGCCCTAAACTGCCCGAGAGCTAGATATTCATGTGCTTAACGACAGCAAGTGTTTTATTCTTTTTCTTGCATGTTACAAATCAATGATGTTTCCAAAATAAATTAAACTTAATTTTATTTAATTTAGATTTTAAACAAAATTCATAAAACTGATATTTTCGTTAAGCACTTTTGTCTAAAAGTAGCGTATGAATTTATAACTTCATTCATAGCGGAAAAATGACGTTTTCCAAGAACGCAATTCATTCATAATAGGCGTGTGCGAATGACGTCATGTAAGACTAGTTACTTGTAATTTGAAATGCATTTAATGATATGTTATAATATTATGTTACCAAATTCCCTAAAAATAACCTCAGAAGTTTGATGTCTTTTGTGAAATATGAAAGATGTAATCTTGAACTCGTTTCCTTATAATAAAATGAATATTGATATCATACAACAGTAGTCTGTCCGTAACTTCATTTTGACTGACTTCACAGGACCCGAAGTTCCAAACTTAACAGCCCAGTAAGAGAAACCAGATGCAGTGTGGGCACAGTCGTGGATGCCTTCTACCTTTCCATCTATAGCCTTGTCTACTATCATATTAACAACACCTTCATACAAATATGTAGAAGACTGCCATGCTTCAGCTCCTTGTAAAAAAATTATTCCTGTGAAAACAACAACAAAAACAACACTTTTAGATTTTTAGATAGATTCTATGTAATATTATTTATAGAGTATACCTTATGTTTCTATTGACGAATCGCCATTTTTTTGGTGAAAATATATAAAAGAAAATGAAGAGGAATGTTTGGTTGAAAGAAGTTTAAAGGTTTTACTGTCCGATTTGTGATCAATTTTGTTGAAAATATCGGCTTTAATCCCCTTCATTTTTACTTGGCATGAAGTCAAAAACTTAGGTTAATTAATTGCCACAATTCTTTGTTGATCTTTGTATTAATTTTTTATACAACGTTTTGAGAAATGAACCAGTTGATTAAATTTTCTGAAAAATTCGTATTGTCGTAGTTTAAAGTTTCGGAAAAAAACTAAACAAATATTTTCTTTATCGGTCGTAGTTGACAGTTTGAAATATGTTACTTCTCATTGCATTGGCTTAAGCGTTAACTTTTAAATGTACTTAAAACTCTTGAAATGTCACATGTATGCACTTTCACAAAAAGAAATATTTTACATTGTGCCTATAATAATATTTTGAAAATTACTGAGACATGTATCAAAAAGCATAAATAGTTCAATAAAACCGATCAAGAGAGTTCGACTACAATTAAAGTTATACATGCATATGATACGAAATGTGGAGACAAAAATGACAACTCCCAACTCTAAAAAGATATATTTTTTTATCAAAACGAACTTATTTCCTAATTTCCAAAAGTAAACAAACGGATAGATTGAAAATATCAGATGCATTTACGACGATGCAATTCAACAACTCATACAACGATGCGATTTGCTCAAATGCAAAACAGTCTCCCTTTAGGTAGACGCATCATTTAATGTTAGTGTTGTATGTTTTGTTTTAGTGACAAGTACGAGGGGAAGTCAGAAAATGTCCGGACTTTTGACTCGTTTTCGAAAACCATTCAACATTTAAAAACATCTTTCTACTCTTTTTCAAAATATTCTCCACCTACGTCTACGCACTTTTGCCATCTTCGTGGGAGCTTTTGTATTCGCGCTGTGAACCATGACGTAGACCTTTGTTTTATGTACTGTGTAACAGCAGATATCAAAGCCGCCATTGTCTTTTATTTCTTTCCAGCAAGCAATTTTTTCAGTTCTGGAAACAAATAAAAGTCACAGGGGTCGAAGTCTGGGCTATAAGGATGACAACTATTGCTATTTGTAAGAGTTGATAACCTCCACTGTACCTGCGGCGGTATGGGAGGGGGCGTTATCGTGATGAAGGAGGACATTTTTCTGTGCTAATCTGGGACGCATTTGCTTCAGCTTTTCTCTGAGATTTTTCAGAATTACTTCAGAATAGTACTTTATTGTGACAGTTTGACCTTTTTGCATGAAATGACTAAGTATCATTCCTCGTGAATCCCAAAAGGCAACAAGCATTACTTTGCCAGCCGAAGGAGACAGCTTATACTTTTGAGGAGGTGGGGAACAGCTCGTTTCCACTGCTTTCACTGAGCTTTTGTCTCAGGTTCGGAATATGGAACCCACATCTTATCTCCAGTGATAATGCGGTTCAAAGACTTATCTCCTTCACGATTAAAACGACTTAAATGTTATTTTGCATTGGTTACTCTGGTTTCCTTTTGATCTGCGGACAGCTGTCTAGGCACCCACCTGGCACGTACCTTGCTCATGCCTATGTGTTCGTGTAAAATCTTTTGTGCCGATGCCTTACCGATGCTAAACTTGTTGGCTACCTCCTCCAAAGTTACTCGACGATTTTTGTTGACAAAAGCTTTAACATTTGCTACCATTGTTGGGGTCACCGCCTCAGCTGGCCGCCCAGTCCTAGGTCTGACACAAACACTTGTTCTGCCTTCACAGAACTGAGAAACCCAGTTGTAGAAGGTTGAACGTGATACACATTTATCAGAAAATCTTTTTTAAAGCCTCTGAAAGATGTGGCAGGGATTTTCACCCTCTGCAACCAGAAACTTTTTTACAGAGCGTTGTTCCTCTAACAAAGAGTCCATAATAGACGAAACACCTATCATATATCAGAGGGCAAAATACTGTGTATACACAACTATCATTGAAAATAAACTAATCACGTTATTGGCGAATGAATGTAGTTTTCACCAATATATAGTGTGTGTATATAGCTGCACGTGGAAAGAGAGGAGCAAGAAAAGTCCAGATATTTTCTGACCGTCCCTCGTATATTATCAATACTATTTTATCTCAAATGAGATGTCCAGTAAAATATACTATTGTATATTATTAACTAGTAAGAGACAACATGAGCACGTCTTAATATTCCAAGATTTAATACACATGTGATGTTACATATAGCATGCTGTATAGGCGGAGCTTATCAGTAACTAAAGTCTGTATCAAGAATTTTGAATATAGAAAAGTTAGCATGGCTACACATGGAATTACACAGTTGCATAGTCTTTTATTTGTTTACTGAGAAATAAATATTGTCTATCCATTTGAAAAAAGTTTTGCATCAGAGAAAAAAATTAAAGTAGCTCCTGACTTTAAGCCAGTGTATGTAAATGTTTTTATATACTTTTATTTTTATTGACGACTCGCAAAATAAAAAGTGTCATTCCGCAGTAAATCATATGTCTTATCCATATTCATATATCATATAAAACTAGGCTACTTTGCAGACGAATAACTCAGGAGATTAGTACTGCAAAGCGCTGTTTTTCTTCCGGCAAAAGGCACCATCGCTGAAGTCATTGCCTTTTACTAGCGGCTCGAGCACCCCGAAACTGTTCCTTTTCGTCTCTGACACATTTTAGGGTCACTCACTTGGGTTCAGTCAGGACATCGGCAGCCTACTTTATACAAATTTTATCGTGCTGTCTTGAACGTAATCCCGAGCTGAACAAAGAATGCGAACTTTTTGTCTTACACGTTTGCAGTTGATTTTGAATCATCTGCAGATGCTCTGGGTCTTCTGAACGACGTTTATTACGGGGGCGTAGGACAAATTTTACTTGCACCGGTGTAAACGGCAAATAATCCTGTCCGTTATACAAGAAAGGATTATCATAAAGACGTCTTAACCGTACTAGCGGCTCACGCACTCTTGCATCCTTCCTCGTCGTCTCAGACCATTTTCTTTGGCTAAAGTCAGGACATCGGCAGCTTACCTAAAACAGACCAACTCATGCCGCCTTAAACGTAACCTCATTCTGTAAAAAGCACGCGAACTTTTCGTCTTACATGTTGCAGTGGATCTTTAAACATATGCGGATGCCCTGTGCCTTCACAAAGACTTGCACGTACCGAGGGGGAAAGAGAGAACAGAGAAAAACAAATTTATATCTATAAGCAACGATGGTCCACACCATCATAAACCACCAGGGTACATATGAAAACAGTTATAACATTATATAAGATTACGTTACTTATCATAGATGATCTTAACACGAGTAATATCCATTTTCTGAGGAGTTTTTTTCGACATAAAAGTTTACGGACGGACTATAAACTATTAATGATATAGAATGACACATAAATAAACATTTGATCAGTTATTACGAAAGTTCTGAGTACTTTCCTCGAATCTTTCCTATTGTACGTTCAAGTGATATTTTGTGTGATTTTTTAAAATTTATTCTCTTTTAAAATGAATGTTTTATATGCAATATAAGACTCGCAGAAAACTATTAAATTGAAAAAAAAATATCACTATTTCATTTTACTTTTATAAAGAATGCAGTAAAGTTTAATTTTATCCCTTTATCCAAGATTGCACGAATTGCTTGTTTTTAGACACAAATAGTATTATTAACTTTTTAAACATTATTATTTTGAATAAAACATGTTCAGTTTATTTTTTATTTGTGTATATGTTGCATTTAATGGCAATGGATTATCAAACACTACAGGGAACATAAAGAGTAGCATCCCTACTATCCTACCCTAATTTTATCAATGGTGTTCCCTGAACCACAAACCTAACGCGAAAATAAATCTCTAAACAAAGTTTCTCCGAAAGAAAATTTTCCATCCGTTGGAAATTTTCCATCCGTATTCCTGACGTTGTATTATCTAATGGATAATAATCTGTTAGCTCACACTGTATCTTTACTTCATGAAAATTTGCAGACAGACATCCAAACATACTATCACAAAGAGCAACACATTTGTTTATGGAACTATCATGAAAGCTAGAGATGGGATTCCCATTACTTTCATTGCTGGCGTACATTTCATAAACAAAGGATTTTGTTAATCCAGCAATGACTTGAAAGAAGTTGAAAGACAGAAAAAAGTGTACAAGTATCTTCATTTTTGTGAAGTATACAAATCTAAATTTCCAAATCTAAATATAAAATTTATAGCTTTATGTTAATTGCTCACGTTTGATATTTTAACAAACCCCTTCTTTCAAGTGAATCCGAAGCGAATATGCTGCCGGTACCCGTGTGCTAAGGAATAAATAATAAATCAAAATTTGCAGAAAGAATCTCACGGCAGATCAATCTTACTATTGTTCAGAATGAATTAAGTCACTATATTTTTCCGCCTTCATTGTGATTTGGATTTTCTGAGAAAGCTATTTTTAGCCAAGTAATCAAACAGGAATTAAACAAAGTATCAAAATATCGTTGTCCGTAAAACAAATTCTTGATTTTTGTTAGCAAATAATTTTTCTTGAAGTAATTTGAAACAAATAAAATAGAAATAATAGACTCAGGTTTAAATGGATAAGATTGTGTTGCCAGTTCACCTGTTGACTAGATGGAAAACGCTATGTTTGGTCTTGAAATTGTGAAATTTATCTAGTCAGTCCTGGTTTTTCTAGAAACCGTTTTTTGCTTTCAAAATTGTGAAAGCTTGCCGATGATTAACTGTTTGAAAGGCAGCGAGAAAGTGAACTCCTATTAGTGCCTACTCAGATATTAATGCGTAGCGTTAATGCGGGG